AACGTAAAGTATCTAAATAGCAGAATATCTGTGATGTTCACAACAGAGACGTTGCCATCTGCAGCATTACAGGAGTGACATGTGAGGAATCAGGTCCCAGGATACAATCATCACCTCTTGTATGACGGAACTTAGCTTGTTAGAGACTGCATTACGAGGGAACTGAATTGCTTGTCTTTGCTCTCTTTCACAAGTAAAGAAAACATAAAGGCAGAGTACTTCAGAAAATGGTAGAGTATCTAGAATGAATGGGATTTCTGCTTCTAAGGCAAGGAGTACCTCAGCCCATCTTCTGTAACCTGAACACCAAATTCAAAGTCACTACTGTTCCAAGAACTGGAGCAGTTCTTCTCTTTTCAGGAGATCTGCCTAACTGTCTGCAGAGGGCACTCGTTTCCTTCATACTGTGTCTTTTCTCTGTGTCATCTTCAGTTAAAAAATGTTCTTAATTAACTGTATCACCTGCCCTTTAAACTGTCAAAATTCTGCAAGGGATTCTTTGTTTTTGGTAAAACTCTTTGGTTTGTTTTTATATGCAAGTGAAGGTCTAGTTAACCAGTAACCAAAGAGAGCACTTACTTGTTTGTAGACAGATAAATAATAGGTTTCATTAGAGTGCTGCTTCTTTGAATCTGCAAATTTTTTGTGCCATTATTCCTTGATTCCACCTTCATTATTATCTTGTATTTGGAGGTATTCTAGAACATCATACTGATGAAGTACTACTTCCGTTTAGGTTTAATGATTGCTTATAAGTTACTAAAAGTAGTTTCCAAACATTTGGGATACTGAGAATCTAAGTAGTGGTAGCAGTTATATCCTTCTGTATGTGTTGTTTTTTCTGCTCTACATGGCATTTTCCTATGGTACTCAAATTCTTTAAGGGGAAAAAAAAGATGTGTCAGTACTAGCAGTATTAATAATTTGTTTTGAAAAGGAAGAAGAGTTGATGCCAGCAAAACCGTTTGGAAACTTGTGGTTTTAATTTTTACATGCTCTTATATACACCGTGTGTTGTCTGCAAAATACAGGATTATTGGGATTGCAGTGATTGCTGAGTAATAGTAATTAAGAAATTAATAGTAAGATTTGTTTGAGAAACTGAGCTATCAGTCACTTGCAAATCTAGGTTGATAAAATTACTTCTGCTTGTACTTAACAAACAAAACTCCTGTTACATATTATGAGCCTTTGAAAATGCAGATGAATATGAGGAAAATGTTTGCATATGAGGCAAATGAGAAAATATAATGAACTTGGACAGAGTCATTGAAAATATCCTCTTGAAAAAAATCTTTTTTTCTGTATAATTGAGCAGTAATATGCTTTTGTATTTTGTATGATAGCTTTTATAAGTCCACTTTGACTTTGCTTTGAACTTTGATGCTTTTGTTACTATTCTTTCACTTGCATTTGTTTCCTTGCCAGTCAGTTTGTGCTGTACAGAAAGATGAACCTTGTAGTTTCTGTTTAGAGCCGGGTTGGTTCAGTTGCATGAATTACCTCTGGCACAGCACTATAGGAAATGTTAGTGTAAGTACAAAATTTAAAGAAATATAGTGTGTGCTCTTCCCTTCACATGGATGTTTTAGTTGCAAGATAGCTACTTCTGTTCAGAAAATAAAATTATTAATAACAGGAATGCTGGAGGCCATCTAATAAACCTTGCCTTCAAAGCAGGGTCAGCTTTGACATACAGAGCCTTCAGATCTTGAATTTTGCTTTGTATCACCAAGGAACCTCCTATGCAGCCAGTTGCTGTGCACTGCCTTTGGCATATTTTCCTGGTTGGAATTTGCCATGAAACAACTTGTGACTGTTCCCTCTTTCCCTTTTGTCATGTCTGCTGTCATCTCTATAACTTCTCTTTAAATAACTGAAGGCAGTGATTTCTGCAGATAACAGCCCTTGCTCCACCTTAACCTTCTCTTCCAGAGGCTGCACGCACCAGCCTTCCTGAGCTTCTCCTTGTGCAGGATACATGCTGGTAGCCAAGGCACACTGGTGTCTTCCTGCTGCACTCTCTCCTCTTTGCTATTGCCTCCCTTGCATCATGGGCCCTAAAACTGAGCAGACTCATCCAGGGAAAGTGTAAGGAGAGCAGAAAGGAAATAATCTTGTATTGTTGCAGGCTTCCAAATGCAGCCCAGGATGTGTTCAAGTCTTAGTCAGAGTAGGGGAGCACCTTTGGGTCACACACAACTTGTCTGCCCAGGCCTCCTGATGCTTTCCTGAGCATCTGCTTCCTAACCACTGACCCCAGCCCCTACTCTTGTGTTAACTTACATTGGCACAACATTTTTGTCTTCATTGACTGCATAAAATTTTTTAATAAACAACATGATAGCATAAAGAATTACTTTATTTTTAAACATACCAGAATAATTAAGTCTCTTGAGTGAATCTGAAGAGTAGGGCATCTCATGGGAGTATTGTTCTTTATGAAGTTGTCCTTCGGAGGTAATATGTGGAGGTTGTTGTAGGAAAAAACTCATAACATGAATGGGCAGCACTCATTGTCAGAAAACTGTCTACCTTTGAATTCTTAAAGCAGCTAACAATGGTACTTCCACTCTTGTAACTCAGTATGTGTATAATTGGTATAGTACCAGAGGGAAAGAGAGCCTGCATAATTTGTGAAGGGCTCAGATGAATAAGTCAGATTTCTGTGGCAGCTCGGTTGAGAAGCAGTGCATGTGTGGACAGATGTGATAATGGCCTTCAACAGGGCTTTTCTAGAGGGAGAGGAGAAGGGAGGGTCTGCAGTTACTTCTTTTCAAAGTCATGCTTTGAAAGAGTCAACAGCCAATGTGGATAAGGTTTATCTAATCAGAGCGATGTCCTTGGATTTCTTAAAAATAATAATAAAAAATTTGATTATCGAGGTCCTTAATCAGCCTGTTAAGCTAAGATGTGATAGAATGGGATGGTCCTCCCATGAGTTAATAATTGGTGAACACACTGAACTTGGTACAATGAGTTTCCCAAGTGAGCTTTTAGCACTTAAGAAAGATCTTGAAGTCGTTGTAGGTTATATTAATGAAAATAATCAATGTTTGGTGGGGAATAAGCACATTGAATTTTGAGAATTACTTGGAAAGGAATAGGGAATAAAATAGTAAGCAATCTATAGAGACATATATAACATACTGCATTCCTTAGTCATGAATACTGTGTGGATGCCTGTCATTTGCAGAAGAAAGAGCAGGAGAATTAGAAAGCATGGGCAACAATGACCCTCAGAGGTGAGGGAAAGTTGCTTAAAGCGCATTGCTCATAATGCCAAGATTGGAGGTTTTATCCCTGTGTGGGTCATTCACTCAAGAGTTGAAATTGATGATCCTTGTGAGTCCCTTCCAACTCTCAGAATATTCTGTGATTCTGAAAAGGTGATCAAATAGATGAGGTGTCTTAACTTTGGAAAGCAGTTACAACTCCTCTTTTATACTAGAAATACCATCTTCAGATTGCACTGTTTTTTTTTAAAGCAGTGAGGAACAGTTTAAAAAAAAAAACCTCCAGGAAGCTGAGAAGAAGCTACATAAGCATTACTGGCCAGAGTAGTTTATATTGATTTATTGTATTCTGCAGAGAGGAAGAACAAACACAATTCAGGTCATCATAGTGATGAGTGTGCTTGAAGGGACAGGAAGGTATAACAGACTTATATTACAAACTGGATAGCTGCTGACTTTCTGAAAGTGCACTGCGAGGCTGGTTAATAGTGGAAGAAGGATGAGCTGCTGCATCCTATTTGGGAATTGATTGATTACTGAGAGTAGATTCTTATGTGAAGCTATCACTTTGACATGGTGTAGTAATAGCAGCTGGGAAATAAGAACCTTCTGGAAAGCAAGGGCTTAAAGAAGATTTGAATTGTCCTCAGCTTCCTGTAGACTTCCTGAATGTGTAAAGAGGAGTGATAGGCATCAAGACCAGTTACAGCCCTTCAGATACAACCCTTGTAAAAATGCTTATTTATTGCATCTGTATTGGACAATGAGAAAAAAAGAAAGGAATGAGAGTTGTACCAAGTCCTTCTGACCCCATTGGCCTCTTTAAAAGTCATCTCAGAGAAAAAATTGCTAAAGCTGACAACCACTTGACGGTTGATTTGGCAAAAAAAAGTCTACAGTATTTTAAGACTGGTTTGTTCATTATTTTCTTACTGCAGTCAGTCTTTGTTGCTTCTTTTTTCTTTCTCTGTTTTGTTGTTGGTTAGGGAGTTTCTTGTGTTTTTTGAATTGGTGGGTTTAGGGTTCTTTCCTCTAAACTATATCATGGAACATCAAACTGTGAGTGGATACCTGGGTTGTTATTTTTGCAGTTGATTCATCTTTTACATGGCTTAAGACTTGCTTTGTCTACCAGTTCTGATTGTGTATAGGTTATGAACAGGGAGAGAGAGAACAACCTTTCCTGCAGGGTCGGTCTGCTGAGTTGTATGTATTTTTCTGAAATAATGGATTCTGGAGGATTTTTGTTCTTTAAGTCCCTGCCTTCAGCTGGGAGGGGACACTTAAAGGAAAGTTTGGAATATTCTCTTGGAAAGGCCTGTTCCAGCCAGATTTTATCTCCTGTAGATCAGCATATCTCAGAAGGCTGTGCCATATGCTATGGCATTGGGCATGTTTGTCAGGTGGGACTGAAAAACATTTCAATAGCCACAAAGGATAAGGGTAGAAGATGAGAGGATTGTTCTTTTTGACAAATGTCAGTTGCGTCTGTTACTCTGCTTTAAGGGAAAAATTGGAATACAAGGGATTAAAACATACTCATATTAAAACTCTGACCTGTAAGGTTATATAGAAGAAAGTTTGAGAGAACACTGTGAATCTTAATTTCTTTTTTTGCTTCAAAGGTGTAAATGCTAATTTATGTTGAGACTATGTGTTTCAGGGCTTCAGTTTCCATTAATGTGCATTGGTAGTATAGATGAGACTATTTGCTAAAATAATACAATGTGCTGACCTGAAGCTGTCTACTTGTATTTGTTTTAGGGGTTGTTTCTCTATTGGCTGTTCATCCTTCTACAGTAAATACAATTGGAAAACAGCTCCTGCCAAAAACGTTCGGACAGTCTAATGTCAACATTGCACAACAAGTGGTAAGGAGACTGTAGGGTGTTTTTTGTTTGTTTCTTTGTTTGTAAGATGTGGGGGGGGGTTTGGGGTTTTTGTTTGTCTTGGGGTTTTTGTTTGTGTATTTTGCTTGTTTGGTTTCTTATTTACTTGTTTTTATTGCTTGTCCTATTGTTTACACATACTGCAAATCTGATGGAGCCTGGTAGTCTGTATCACTCGTCATGGGTAGATAATCTAATTTTGTTTCTAATTTTAATAGACTTAGGTTAAAAAAATATGTATTGCATAAAGAAGTTAAAAGATGACTCAAATAAACATGAAGTTACCTTACTGTTCAGGTGGCTTTATCTTTTGTTAGTCTTACCGTTTAAAATCAGTGTCTCTTTCAGATTCTGCCCTGAAATCTGGCATAGGGAAAATGTAAATAAAGTCTATAAACACGTTTTTATGGAGATTTGAGCTAGGTGGAATAAAATTGAAAACATAACTATATTTTAGTGCTTAATTTAAATATTCTTTTGCTGAAATACTTAATTTGAGCTTCGTGTGAGATATATGAAATTAGATGTTTCAAAGAATCTTATAATGCAATAGGTAATACCTTGGTTATAGTAATTCTTGCAGTAATCAAAAGTAAAATTCAGTGGTCTGAGTAGAATTGGTCTCAGTCGTCTGGAAAGTAACTGTAACATGTAAGCATCTGAACTAGTGTCTTATATTTGGGTTTCTTCTTGATATGAAAGCAGTAGAGTAGATTTTGAATGTAGAGGAGGTGCTAATCACACTTCTCTGTCCCACTCTAGAAATGAGCCTGTGAATTTGTGCACACTTAATTTTTTCTTTTGTAGTGTTGAGTATTTCAGGACTCTCCTGAGGGCAGTAGAGGTTCAGGGTTTGCTGCTGCTAGTTTGTTTTTTCTCCAGCTGTAATTCCTTTCCTCTTCACCCCCTGCCCCCTTACTAGTTAGGCTTTCATCTTACTGCAGAGTGATACAAATTCTAGATATGGTACCTCGGTGGGGCTGCTCATGCAATTAGTAAGGTAGGGAATTAGAGTGTAGGACTCTCTGCAAGCAAGGTGTTAAATCATCTCTTGCAGTCTTCTGCCACTGCATCCTAGGGAATAGACACTAGCTAACAGCTTTCTTCAGTACTCCATAGAGCCTGCTTACTCGAATAGCACATGAGTGGTTTTCACACTCTTTGGAGACATTTAGTGAGCCAGACCAGTTGGTGTGAGAACTGATAGCATATTTTTAATGGGGAGAAAGTGAGTGGGTTCACATGTGTCCTGTGCCAGCACTCCCCACCCTCATTCAATTTCCTACAATCAGAAGTTTTGTTTATGAAAAGCAGTAGAGGAGATAATTTGGCTGTTCATAAACATTTCAAGTGTGGTACATAGCTGCTGGAAAGGAGTACCTAAGATATTCTAGCTGTCAGAAGTGGATGTAACAAATTTATATGTTAACCGCTGAGAGAGGTAGCATAATATAAAGAGAATATTTGGAAAAAAATACAGTTGTTTTGTCTTTCCAGAAAGCTGAAATCACAGACATCCAACAGCACTAGACTACCTTTGGCACTGTCTATGTAACTTTCACACATGAAATGTTTTATTTTCAGTTTTTGTATTTTACTCTGAGACTAAACTGTTGAACCTTGCCCAAGGAAGAAAAATTAAGTTTTGCTGCTCAGACAGAATATAGCTGCAGGAAAATATGGCAGGCTTGTGAGTGGTTATGGGTTTAGTTTTGTTTGATGTTTTTTTCATTTACCTCATGTCAGAGATGCAACCAGCTGTTTCCACTGGGAGCTAAATGTACCCCAAAAAAGTAGGCTTATCTTTCTACAAAAGAGTAATCTATATGGTATCATTTTTTTTCCATATTTTCTAGAAAATTACATTTAAAACAATTCAGAGATAAAAAACACGACCTGCAAAAGTGGGTTCTTTATTTAGCTAGTCTCAGAGGTAGCAGGGCACAGTTCTATGTCCTAATGTATATATTATTATTATTTACGATTAAATTAACACATCTTCAGGACAGTTACATGGAGGCTGGAAGACTGTGCTTAGCCAAGTGTGTGCTCTTAACGTGTTTGCAATGGAATGGGTTTGCCTAGTTTGGTGTCACTCACTGCAGTGGTGAGGAAAGTTTGCCCTTATTCTTTTTCACCTGTAACACAGTTAGAGTTTTGATTCTAGTGAAAGAGACTGACACCAGGAGAGGGTTCTTGCAAAAGCTATGCGTTTTCTCTCTGATTTTACTGATTTTCAGATTTTCTTAGATTGATATTTTAACTGTAATTTATTGCAGCATCCTTATACATAATTTGGTAGGGTAGGGGTTTTTTTTCCTCCTTGTTTCCTCCCATTTTCCTTGGAGGGAGAGAGAGAGAGTTATGTGTTTACTTTGATCTTATCTAAGTTAGTGTTGAACAGTGTTAAGAAATCCAGCAAGCATGAAAACCTGATTTAAGGAGGTTAAAATATAAATGCTCATAACTTAGTTAATATAGTTAGAGCACACCCTATTGTCAGAAGTTTTTTTATGCTAATGTTTATAAATTAGATGCATCTAAAAGAAGTATGTAAAGTACTAGTGTTTGGATAATGCATCATTTGAATTGTCACTTACAAATGTCTTGGAATTCTAATTATTTTCCAAATTATTTTGTCTTTACTGTAGGTTATCGGTACACCTCAGAGACCTTCAGGGCAAAATACTATCCTGGTAGGAAGTCCACACACACCTAACACACATTTTGCATCACAGAACCAGACTGGAGATTCTTCACCTTGGTCTGCTGGGTGAGCAAAATGAAAGCTAGAAAGGATTAATAAGTGTTGGAACTTTTGTTTTAGATGTTGTGATAGTATGTACTCCCTCAGGCTAGCAGTGTGGGAAAGTCTTTTCCTTTTTATCAAGGGCACTTCACCACTGAAGTCTGTTGTACTAAAATAGGGAGTAGTGACACAATATTGAGTACCTCTTCATTTCTTGTAAAAGAATGCAGAATATTTTCTGTAACCTCTGGTAGATATTCTGACATTACTAACGTTTAGAGAATTTAGCTCCTAAAAGGACAAAGGAATTTATCTGACTTGATGCTGGGATTTCTCTTATGCTGGTGTATTTTCAGAAAAATACAGTATATATCTGATTGAACAAGGGTATCCCAGAGTGTCATTTGAAATAAGAATGTAGTCCTTTTTGAGAAAAAGTATTAAATACAAGGAATGCATTCTTTTGGTGTGGTTTTTCCATGCGAGCTTGTTTTTAAGGGCATCTTGTTAAATGCAGTTGCTCTAAGACTAAATTTATTATCAGTGGCCTGTAACACATAAATAGATTTCTGCTTTGGAATTATACAGTGAAATGAGATATAAGAATTGAGACTTCCCCTTGCTGAAACTAATTTTGTTGATACTTGTATTTTTTCTCTAGTTACAAGGAAGTTTTTATTAAAAAACTTTGCAAAGCAGAAAACTTTGTTAAACTGCTTGTATCTTGTAACTGTCAAGTTATAATAGCAATTTTATATGCTGCATAACTTCAAATCTGTATTATAGTAATAGTGTAATGCTTAGTGAGTTCAGCTAATACCAGACTTTGTCTGTTCAATCAGTATCACATTGCATCGAAACTGCTCTATGTGCTACTTTAAATTAAAAATAAAAATTAAAAATAAAAAGGATAAAAAAATTCTCTCCTCTGATTCAGTTTCCATGTTTTAGTATTTATCCCCGTATCTCTTCTTGTCTTGAAGTTTGGAAGGTTTTCTTATTGACTTCTTCAAGGAATATCCCTGTTGTTAATTTATTGCCTGCTACTGGAAATATTTCAGGCCAGGTTGGATAGAGCTGTGGGCAACCTCACTGAGTTGAAAATACCCTGTCTCAGTGCAGGGGGATTTGACTAGATGATCTTTAAAGATTGCTTCCAACCCAAACTATTCTGTGATTTTGTGATTCTACTGGAGCTAGCAAAGTCGGCAAAAGAATAAATTTATATTGATGTTTCAGCATCAAGAGACTAGAATTGTTTATAGATATTGTAAATTGTAAGGAAAAAAATGTAGGAGAGAAGGTTGGGAAGGGATAAGAAGCAGAAGAAAAGGGAAGGCTTGGGTTTTTTACACCAGTGTGCCTGTATTTGAAAAAGAGACATCAAATATTCCAAAGTTTAAATCTTCTTAAAATATATATTATACATATATTTAGGAAGCGGAACAAAAAAGGCGAGAAGAATGGCAAGGGTTTACGTCATTTCTCTATGAAGGTTTGTGAGAAGGTACAAAGAAAAGGAACCACCTCATACAATGAGGTGGCAGACGAGTTGGTTGCAGAATTCACTACCACTGATAATCACATTTCACCAAATGAATCAGTAAGTATATGGGAAGTCAATTACATGTGAACTGAATGGGGGAAGAGAAATTTCTTTTGAGATTTTTCTGTTTTTCCTACTGCTAAATGAAACCGTTCAGATATTAACTGAGTTAACCCATTTGCTGTAATATGTTTATTTTCAAATATTTTTGATACAGGTATATTTTTGATTAATGCACTATGTCTACAGCAGGCTTATGACCAGAAGAATATTAGACGACGTGTCTATGATGCCTTAAATGTCCTTATGGCCATGAACATTATCTCTAAGGAGAAAAAGGAAATCAAATGGATTGGTCTACCTACTAACTCGGCTCAGGAATGTCAGAATTTGGAGGTGTGTGCATTTCGAAGTTCACAATGGCTTTGTGTTTGAGTAAATGTTTACAGCTTTAATATGTTCTGATGCAATACATGCCTATAATCTTCTGAGCTAGCAACATAGAATAGTATGATCCTTTGACTCTTTTTAATTCTTACATACTGAACACACACTCTTCAGCTTCTAGATTGTTCAAATGTGTCTTTGTTTAATTCTTCTATGTCAAAAATACTGCTTTTGCAGTACATGAGAAGTGGTTCTTAGTGGAAGGTAGTAAAAAATTAATGTGATTTCCAAGATTGCAGTAGTGGTACTCAGAGAGGGAAGATTTGTTTTCTCCAGATGCCAAACAGACAACAGCTCTGTGATGATAGATGTTGCATATAGGTCAGTACATATACATCTCCACTGCTGCAGGTCTTAGCTTTATGTGACAATTCTCTTATGGGAGTATGTCAGACTTTATTATTGCATGTCTTGGGGAAGAAGTGAAATGCTTTATACGGAAAGAGATTCATAAGTTCTGACAGGATTTTTTTACTATCCTGAGATTTGCAGAAAAATAAAGTTACTGAGGTTTACTGAAGTAAATTCACTTCATCAGAACAGAATGAGACGTATTTATTCTCAATGTCTAAATTTCCTTCAGCAGGACAAAAAAATTCAGTGTAGAAGGTGCCAGAGTGAGGGGTGAAATGGAACAGAAGTGTTTTGGAGCCTGATTTACCAAGGGATCATTCTAATTTTTGTTCGATACTGATAACTTATTTTTCATTTAATAGTGTAATTGCTATCTAGATAAAGTAAGTACAGGGTGTCTAATAATGGACTGAGATTTATTTGAATATCATCCCAAGTGAAAATTACTAGTTGAGAGAGTGATAATTGGGGCATAATTAATAGAGGGTGAGTATGGAAGGTGAAGTGGTTCCAAGTGACAGTGCTGTGTGCTGAACAGGGAACCAGCTAACTGGAGGGATTTTAAAAGTAGATCTCCTTGGATCTGTCTCACGAAGTATGGCACTGCCAACAGTGTTGCAGCAAAAAAAAAAAGAAATGTGGTTCATCCAGCTGCATTTGATGTGATGACTGATAATGTCCTAAAGAAGAGCAGGATAATACTAGTACTTAAGTTAAAAAAAGCTACTTAGAATGTAATAATGCGTGGTGAACGTTCATGCATTTAAGATGAGAACAGTGGTATTTTCTGATTAAAATAAAGTGAGAACTTGTTAATTGACTGTCACAAGAGGAGGAAGGAGTTCTGTTAACCATTGAATAATTAAGCCACGAGTGTAATACAGTGAGTTTCTGAAAGCTAATGTGTAATTTGTAAAATTGTCACATCTAATAAAGTTTATTTTGCTATTCCATCTGATACTGTTTAGATTCATCCTTACACTATTGAAAATCAAGCCAAAGAGTTTATAAGGAACATAGGGATTTGAGGACTTCTTCATCAACTACATGTTGTTTTAAATATTCTTGAACTTGCCCTTTGTGTGTAAATTAGAATGTTAGATTTGGTAAAATACGGCGTGATAATGCAAAAATACAATGTATGGGGCAATTAATAAGGTAAGTAAGGCAGTGTAGTTTATGTGTATGAGATAGAAAAATATCTCAAGTGAGTTTTAAATTTTTTGGAGGGAGGCAGTTATTTGGCTTACTTTCTAATGCTGAATTGTAAGACTTGATCCTACCCTTTAAATTTTTTTTTTTTTAGTATAACATCAGGCCTTTTTGCGTCTTCTGTTTTTTCAACTGCGTACACTTGGGGGGTTGGAAATGTTTGTTTGGTTTCACCAAAACCAAACAGTAAACTTCATTCATGTGAATTTTTAACTTGAGTCATTTCCTTGCTAGTTGCACATTTTAAAGATCTAAGAAAATAAATTTTTTTCAGGATCAGCAATCTTTCTATTCAGGATCTTGGCTGACAGTAGTGGTTACTTAGGAAGGAGGAAGAGTAAGACCTGGGGAACTACAGGCCTGTCAGTCTCATAATCTCTGGGAATCTGATGAGGTGATCTATCATGGGAGGTGCTCCCAAAATACGTGGAGGACAGGAAAGTGGTCAGGAATAGTCAGTGTGGATTCATCAAAGGCAAATTGTGCTTAAGCAGTCTGATGGCCTTCTCTGATGGCACGACAGACTGGGTAGAGGAGGGGAGAGCAGTGGATGTTGCCTACCTGGACTTCAAGGCTCTTGACACTCTTTCCCACTATATCCTCATAGGCAAGCCCAGGGAGTGTGGCCTGGGTGAGTGGATGGTGAGGTGATTGAGAACTGGATGAATAGCAGTGTCAGAGGGCTGTGATTAGTAAGTGATCAGTGAACATATTCTGGTTGATCGTGGTGTCCCCCATGGGTCAGTGCTGAGTCCAGTATGGTTTAACTTGTGTGAAGGGGCAGATGCCTCCTCAGCAAGTTCAGTGACAACACAAAGCTGGGAAGAGTGGCTGATACCCAGAGTGCTGTGCAGCCCTTCAGAAGGACCTCAGCAGAGGTTGGAGAGATGGGCAGAAAAGGAATGTATGAAATTCAGCAAAGGCAGATGCAGGAAGAATAACGCCATGCACCTGTACAGGTTGGGGACATCCTGCTGGGAAGCAGCTCTGTGGAGAAGGGCCTGGGAGTCCTGGTGGACAACAAGCTGTCTGTCCATGAGCCAGCAGTGTCTTTGTGGCCAAGAAGCCAATAGTGTCCTGGTGTGCATCAGAAAGAGCATTGCCAGAAGGTCAAGGAGGGTGGTCCTGCCCCTGTGCTCAGCCCCGGTGAGGCACACCTGGATTGCTGAGAGGGATTTCATGGCTGTCCATCAGTACCTGACAGGAGGTGTGAGGGGATGGAGCCAGGCTCTGCTCAGCAGTGCCAAGCAATGGGACAAGAGGCAGTGGGCAGAAATTGATGCACAGGGAGTTCATCTGAACATGAGAAAGAATTTTTTTAATGTGTGAGTGACTGAGCACTGGAGTTGGTTGTCCAGAGAGATTCTGGAGACTCTTTCCCTGGAGATACTCAAAAGCCGTCTGGACACAATCCTGAGTTATGTGCTTGGGGGACACATCCTGAGCAGGGAGGTTGGAATAGATAACCTCCAGTGGTCCCTTCCAGCCTTATCTGTTCTGTGATTAGAGAAGGTATTTTGTAATGTTTTCTTCTGTAACTTATGGCTCAGGCATAACTGAGGCAGATACAATGCCTTCCTATTTAATAGCCCTCAATATTTCTTCCACAAATTTTTACTCTTTTTTCAAAGTTTGCTTTTAACATTGAGTCATTTGTGGCAGTGAGTTTCAGGTACATGAGAAGCTTTTTTTGAAATATTTTTTGTTTGGTTTTGAATGTACTATATTTAGTTGATATCCGCTGAATATTTTTTTAATTGGAAGTCATGGTGACCTAGTCATTCCTTATTCACTTTCTCCATCCTGTTCATTGTTCTATAGGGCCCTCTCATGTTCTCACCCATTATTTCATTTGCCTTTCAGTACAGTCTTAATTTATTCATTATTCTCTTGCATAGAGTCTGTTCTGTATCATTGATGCTCTTTCTTTTCTCTTCTGATTTCTCTTTTTTTCTTTTTTGATTGCTCTTTCGTATGCTTGTCTTGAAATAGGACCATCAGACCTACAGAATTCAAGATGTAAACTTTCTGCTTCATAGAGTAATGTAGTGGTAATTCCTGTTTGGTACCCTGTTTCTTGCCTAATAATTCAATTTTTGGCTGTCACGGAATACTGAGCTGATGGTTTTTGCAGATGATGTAATTTTAGATCTCTACTGAATGTAATTTTATTTCTAAAGTATGCATGGATTAGATTGTTTTTTCACACATACCACACTTTATTTACCAGAAATAATTTAGGTGATGTAATCACGAAATGATACAAGACACTTTGAGTTTGCTTTATGTCAGATTCTCTTTTTACTGTGCCAGGTAACCCGGCATTGCCAGCAGATTCTGTCACCTTGTCACCTTAATCTGATTGTCTATCGCTGGAATAACAGTCTGTCTGTTTAATCCCTGTGGGAATCTGCTGGGGAGCTTCTTCCACTAAGAAAGATGTGTATTTCCTAGCTTTTTGTCTCTTAGCTTTTTTGTTATTATTTAGTACATATTAAATACTGTGAGGCCTTAACCTTGGGCTCAGTAGCATCTTTGTGTCTTTAACCATCTTTGATGGATCTTTTCCAATATCTGCAATATCAATAGACTCCACATCAAATAGATCCTTCTTGTCTATCTTTGGCCTCTTCAAGAGAATTCCGGTAACCCTTTGAGGCATGACTTCTGTTTGCAAAAATGTTTTTATCTTCTTCACAGGTTGTTGTATTTTATTCCCCAGGGTTCTAATTCTGCTTTTTGTTAGTTTCCATAGGTAGTACTGTTGTGTCTTGACAGCTAAGTCTCTAAATTATGTGTAGAACCTTAATGGTTGATTGCTGTATCTTCTACCTCCAGTTCTCTTGTATTGAAATTATTTTAAAGGGAGAAAATGTTGGCATAAAATGCTACTTGAAACCAACAAACTGACCAGTCTTTTTTATCTGTCTTAAGGTGGAGAAACAGAGAAGAATTGAAAGAATAAAGCAAAAACAGTCTCAGCTACAAGAACTCATTCTACAGGTACAGTCAAGGTACTCTTGTCTATAGGGCAAGGTAACTTATGTCTGTATTCCTCTTATTTTATCCCAGTCTGAGGGATGGGAAACTTCTAGGAAGACTAGAGGTGAATTTCAGGATAAGGTGTATGCAGCTTTATTTAATACTTTATTTAACACTCTAGTTTAGCTGTGACCATGCTGTTGGCCTTTGCTATTGGAGATGCCATCAATCTTCAGTCAGTTATGATGAATTTTTTTGCAGTTTCAAGTATGTTTAAGCAGGGTTTATGCTGACAGGAGAAGTATTTCATACTATACCGTCTGAATTTTCCAGTTCAGTTCAGGAACTGAACTAGATACAGGTATCTAGAATTTTCTTCTGTGTTAGCATCCATAGATAAAATTAGGTGGCTGTAGAAGTCTGTCATAGTGCCCTGCGTTGTGCCTCTGGAGACTTGCTGTCACTGGTGTGTAAGTGGCTGGACCACTGTGAAACAGTGGCTGAACTCCTTCCCAGATTTCCCTTACTGCACTTGGGGAAGCAATAATCTATTTCCCAAGTCACTGTGCTGCTGGTAGATAGAAATGTATTCCTGGGCAGCTTGTGTTCCCTCCACAGTAGTAATGAAAATCTCAGGGATGCAGAAAGAAAGTACAGACAGCTATGGGACAACTGCATGATTTTTATTAGTCTCTGTGGTGGCTTTGGATTTTGGTCTTAATTCTTGTTTATTTCATTTGATTTCAAGACCAGAAAAATACTTTTCTTTGTTTAGTAGCTTACTATATGATTTATAACTTGAGTTTCTATGGCTTTTAATTATTCAAATTGCTACTTTTTAACATGGGAACATTCCGTTGCAATTTTGCATTCCAAAGCAATTTTGGTAAGATGTTAAAGTCACTAATCTTAAATGGGTAATTCAGAAACCTAATGCCAGATATTCAAATCCCACACATTAACTCTTTTAGCATATAATTCATCTCAGTATTAACGTTTGGGTGTATTTTTTGGAGTGCAGTAGCTAGTAGGGAAGAGTAAATGGAGAGGAAATATGATGCTATGTGAAAATTTATTTTTCAAGTCATTGTTTTCTCTCCATTCTGCCTGGGATCTGTCCTGTTGTAGTTAGTAGAATGTGGGTTTTTTTGTCAGTAAAGGTTTACTATGTTGTCTCTTTTAATACTATCATCTATGACTCTTCTTGCATCTTAGCATGCAGGAATATGTAAACACTCTGTCCTTTTCTGCATTTGCTTGCTGCAACCATTGCTGGAATCCTTAGGAATTTTGTTAACATGATCCTAAAAGCTTCATTCATACTTTGATATTGCTGTTGCTTTTTCTAGCAAATTGCCTTTAAGAACCTCGTCCAGCGAAACCGTCAAGCAGAGCAGCAGGCAAACCGACCTCCACCTTCCAATTCTGTCATCCATTTGCCATTTATCATTGTGAACACCAGCAAGAAGACAGTGATCGACTGCAGTATTTCAAATGACAAGTAAGCTGACAAAGTTTTCCATCTGGCTTTTGGTAGAGCTCTGAGTTCATATAAACGTTCATGTAGATATGTTGAAGATTAAATACAAACTTAATTTACTTGTGCCTTTTGTATATTGAGAACATGCACTTCAGACAGCTGTTTTATATACCCCTTTAATAAATAGTCTAATTGATTCACATTTGATAACTTATTTAAGACTTGCTATCTAGAGATGCTAGGCATCTCTCTTGACATTTTATGTCATACTTAACCAAGCAGTGTTTTCCTTTGGCTTTAACACCATGAAATGCAGCCAGCGGAATTGAAAATGGGTTTCACTTTCAGGACTGCTGTTCTCCACTTTTGATTCAAAAAGCTGTAGTTTTCATCAGCTAAATAAAAACTGAATGTAAGCAGTCAAGAGCAAATACATAAATCTTCGATTTTTAAAAATTCGATTGCTTAGTGTGATGTATCACCAACACACCTAACTGTGTAAAGCTTTTGAAATGCTGCAATTCCTGAAAATTGAAAGGTAGTTAAAGTCATTGAAGTTAATTGAGACATTTTTTCCTCTCCAGGTTTGAATATCTATTTAATTTTGACAATACTTTTGAAATTCATGATGATATAGAAGTACTAAAACGAATGGGAATGGCTTGTGGGCTAGAATCTGGAAGCTGTTCAGCAGAGGACCTAAAAATTGCAAGGAGTTTGGTTCCTAAAGCTCTGGAACCATATGTGACAGGTTAGTTACTCCAAAAAGAGTTGACTTTTTTCCTCCTTAATATAGGAAAAACATGAACGTTAGATCAGATAATTTCCACTGGTTTGTGGTAAAGATTTCTGTGAAGTTCTTAAAGTTATCTGCTTTTTAGTGTACCTTAGGGGCCAAATATAGTGATTAATAAAGAATGGACTGTTGCTCTTTGCAAACCATTCTGCATCAAGCCACACAAGGAGATCTTGGCAGTGTGTAATTCTTTTAAGAGAACAGTATGTATGCTTGATTCACTTGGAAAGGCAAAAGGAAGTAAGTGCAAGCATATGATGGATACTGAAGTAGTCTGTCTTGCTCACTTCAAAACAAATGGGTTTTTAAAATGTATTTTGAAATTTTGTTGTTGTTTGCACTAGCCTTTTCTAAAATTACGCTGTTTTGGATGTAGTACATAAATATGTTTTGTTGTTTGGGCTGCAAGACTCCTTTTCTGGACTTCAGAGGATTAAGCATTTCCACTGAATTAGGTGAGTGTGTTCGGAAGTATTCCTGAAATGCATGTTGTTTGTTTTACAGAAATGGCTCAGGGATCAATCAGCAGTGTATATGTCACATCTTCATCAGGTTCTGCATCAAACGGCACAAGATTTTCAGCCAGGTGAGATGAAATTTTCAATTGGTTTTTATCATCTGTGGTCATCAAAGAAATTTGGATATTAAATGCTTCATGAAACAAGTTCTGTTTTGATTAAATGTGCTATGGATATGTGTTTTAAGTTTATTCTCAGACATCACTTCTGCTGTGCTTCTTAGCAGTGTCATTAAGGAAAGCTTTTCCTGTGTAGTGGAAAGGTGTTAAAAGTGGTGTTATTCTTGAATGTGTTTTTTGTTTGTTTGCTTGGGGTTTTTTATCTAGTTTGGAGTTGGTGACAAGAAAACAGATACTTCTCTAAAGATACAGTATTGGAAAGATTATTCCTTGATCATTAGTGTCTAACTTTAAAAAAAAAAATTGATCTTTGGGTTTTAAACAGCAGTCAGAAGCTGGTAGTGATAAACCATAACTAGTGTTCAGCTTTGTTACTCACTAGTTTCTTATTGATGTATTAATCAAAAAGATGTCCTTCTGTGAGCTCATTTTACAGGGTTGTAAAATGAGTCAAATATTCAGCAATTGGATTCTGAGGTCTTTTCTAACTTGATGCTATGATCATTGAAACGTTTGACATTCGTAACAAATGCTTGAATTAAGTTCTTCTGCATGTTTTGTGCAAGGGAACTGAAGCTTGAGTGAGAATTCTGCCAAAATATCTTTAGAGATGCTGAACAGTACCTAAGATCGCTGTTTTCAGTAAGTTTCCTTCTGTGGTAATGAGCATGGGGTAGTGAAAAAGAGCACCATGTGTTTTTAAGACTTTGGAATTTGAATAGGCCACTGTTAGCCAGAGACCAGTAGAAAACCAGAGGCTGACTGGGGTTCATTATCTTGGTGAGAGTACAAGAACTTCTAGCATTTCCATTTCTTAGGAGTTTGGAAATGGGCAGTGACAAATTATGTCTAATTATACGATATATATGAATATTCATGGCAATACAAGTTGTGCTGCCAAGGCAAATAAAGGCTGTATGTTTATTTAACAAGGTCTCTGCAGAAAGTTTGCCGAAATCTGAAGATGCTGCTACCAATACCTTCATCCCACTTTCTTTGCCTTACTTACTAGGATACTCAGGTTCTGAAATTCAGTTCCGTTTTTATCAAAAAGACGGGAGAACGGATTTTGGGTTTGTACTTTCAAAGTTTACAAAAGGACAAGAATGATCTCTCTTTTGTGTTTTGTTTTGTTTTCTTTGCTTTTGAAACTGCTTTTGCAGATGATTATTGCAGACCTGTTGTAAGTCACCTGACTACAGCTAGACAGATATCTTAGTATCTTGCTGCTGAATAAGTGTGCAGAACCGAAGAAATTCTTTAAAAGTGTCTTACTGGATGTTTTTCCTGTGAGCTTATAGGGTGTACCCCTGCAGTTTCATTCTGTGTGATGATAGACCATTGAATTGGCTCCATACAGCAACAAATGTGCATGATTGAATACGTGCATTAGCTGGATTAGCATTTGAAAATTACTAACAAATGTATTTTTGAAAGCAATTTTTAAATGATTAATGTCTTTCAAGGGAGATACTATTTTTGTGATTGAAAAAAAAACATTTTGTCACAAGTTTGTGGCCAAGGTTAATAGTTTACCAAACTATTTAGAAAGTCAACAATTAAATAGATTGGCAAAGCAGCAAGTAATAATGGAGGCAGGAATTTTCTGGCTCTATTAAAATAAAATACTGCACAATGAGAAGAAAACAGTTTTAAATTAAAAATACAGCACATGACAGTTTACTATGTAATACCAAGGAGTTAAGGAAAAGCTAATAGTTCCTCAGTTTTCCAGGTTTTTGAATCAAGATTAGTGATTCTAAGACGATTTCACTTGCAGGTGTCCAGTGCTACCCAAAAATACCAAAGAGCTTAGCTTTCTGGCCTTAGCACTAAATGTACTTTAGAAGAAACCTGAAAAGCATATTTATAAAGTGCCCGTTAAAAGATTTAAAACTTTATATTAAAACTAAAGGAAGAAACCTAATAAGAACCACCTCAAATTTACTTGAGACTGTTTGAGCTTTTTGGAGACAGTTTGGACATACACTAAAGACAGTTTATAAAATGGCAGTGACAGCTTCATTAAAGGAATGGACTAGACATGGGAGAAATCATGAAGCAGTGCCAACTGGCTTTTCTTTTCTTTTTTCAGTGACTTTTCCAATGGTGGAGATGGGATGTTGGCTACAAGTTCCAATGGATCTCAGTACAGTGGCTCCAGAGTCGAAACACCAGTTTCTTATGTTGGGGATGACGATGATGATGACGATGATTTTAATGAAAATGATGATGACGACTGATGCCCTTTGCTTGTAGACTATTTTTTGTTAAAATTCAGCAGGCTTCAGGAATAAATTGTTCTAGGGAGAAGTGTCTCAAATTACTTTGCCCCATCCCCCAAGGAGAATATTGGTAAGCAGTTCTGAGTTTAGAAATTGCACCTCTGATAAGCAAGCGAGGATTGTTTTATGTAGGATATTTTTAAATGTGGTGTGGATGTGTGTTTTTGATACCAGTGTGTTAATGCAGAGCCTTTATTTACTCTTGTTTTAGGGGTTTTTGGTTTGTTGGTTGTTTTTTTGTTTGGGATTTCTTTTTTACTTGAAGGAAAAAGAATTTTGCCCCAAATGTTCTTTCAAAGTTTGCTAAAGAAAATGTAGACACATTGAGAAATAAAATACTATCCTTCTGTGGAAAATGAATACACTGAATGGCAATTTATTTGGAGTGTATTTTGATTATGCCACTTTTTGAGGGATAGTGAGCTAATGTAGTAGTGTTTTTTGTTAATCATGCAGTGTCCAAAGAACCAAACAAGAAAGATACATCCTACTTTTTTACATGTTAAATTCCAGGAATGTTGTTGTGAACTTATTTTCCCTTAAATTATAGCTAACGTTATGATTCCATCAAGTTTATATACTTTTCACTGTATGTTGGGACATATGAATTACAAAGTTTTTGGCAAATGTTTACTGCCAGTTGGTGCAGCTATATAAAATGTCTTGAAGGTTTGGAATGATTTATTGCTTATGGTAAAATTTGCCTGATTTCTTACAGGCAGTCTTTGGAAACTTTTTATTATATAGTTGTTTACATACTTATAAGTCTATCATATAAAGACATGTACTGAAACAAATGTTTGTATTTGTTTCATAAGCATCTTCCTGTAATCTATTATAAAGTTGAAATTAAATATAGAGAATGTTTTAAGTTTTTTAACTCAAAATTTGTCAATCATTTTTAATAGTTCATTTTTATAAAAAGAATTTCAGGGCAGGTGGTAGTCTTTTTAAATTTATTCACAAACAATTAACTGCACAAATACTGTCAGCTGCCTATTCTAAGACAGTAGTCTTTTTATTGAAACACAAATAAACTTTTCTGTAATATTTTATGAAATATAAAGAGACTATAATTGTTTGACTTGTTTAACCTTGGCACTGTTAGTTTTTATTAATAAAACGCGCATGGGCATTTTTAACAAGCTCTGTGGTTTTTCTAATTCTAGGATTATTTTAGAACATTTCACTTCTCGTCACAAGACTAGAATTAGCTGTCTTGGGATGCTGCATCTGTGCTACAGAGGGCCCAGAGTTTTTGCTTTGATTTAGTAATTTGCCCTTAGAGCTCTTGATAACTTATAATGCAAAAGCCAATAACATACCTCCTCTTGCACACCTCCTTATTTCGTCCTTGTTGCTCCTCAGCTTGACAGGTCAATCTTAGTACTTCAATCTAACTTTTGTTTAAAATCCCATGCCTAATGTCCTAACTTTTCATCCCATATTCCTCAGTCCTAGCTTTCTATCATATATTCCTATGTCATCAAAAAAATCTTTTTCCCTTATACTTCCTCATTAAACCATTTTGTTAAATCACAGCCTCTGCTCTTACCTGTAAGCGCGTATTGAACTGTCTCAATCACTGCAGGCTACTGTCACAGTCAGGATTTGATACTTCCACAAAGTCCAGGGAGTCCCTGAAAAGTTTTAATAAGTGTGCTGGCTGTGGTAAGGACTCCTGGATGCACTTAAACCCTGTTGTAAATGTGAAGTGTGTAACGTGTTTGTTTTTTTTTTTATGTGAAGGGATTATGCATAGACAAATCAGCTGTGGGAAGGTGGAGATATGGGTGACAAACGTAGAACAGCTGATACACACTGAAGGTTTTCAAATTGTATCAGACCTTGTAACATGAGTGAGCCAGGCAAATTACTTGGTGTGGGACTGGGGAAAAATCTGGGGGAGAGGAGGCTAATGGAATGTTTGCCTCTCAGTGACGAGGCTGTTGTCGGCAGTGCTAGTGCTAAACACAGGGCTCTTGTTGTGGGTGAGACGCTTGATTCAAATTGTCTTTGATGTTGAATGACAGTTCGGTTTGCAGAGGAACTTCTATTATTCCAGTTTTCCCTTGCATTCTCCAGTATGTGATCCAAGATTTACCTGCAAAGAGTGAGTAGAGGGATGTTAGGGAAGGAAAGCTGAAAGAATCAGACAGTTTTCTTTTGGTTCTTACTGGCAGAATAGTCCTTAGACAAGACAAGGTTGCGGTGGGAGTGAAAATGTGACAAAACAAATATTTTTAAGATGTTATTTTTCTCTTTTCTTTCGCTTAGTGATGAATCTGAACTGGAATTTGATAATTTAAATATTGGAGTGGTTTTGGAGAAATTCTTCTTTATTATATTTGTGGCTGAACTTGATGATCTTAAAAGATTTTCTTCTAAACAATTCTATGATTCTGTATAACCTTTGTTTTGGGAGAGCTTTCTAGTAAAGGCAGGGATCAATAACAAAAGAAAGTCTATAGACTTTTAAAATAGTTGCTTGATTTCAAGCGGTCACTTGGTTACAGTATTCAGGTGAAAGAGGAGAAAAAAAAGACAATAGAGACCAATGGTGAGGGGCCAGGTTGAGATGAGAGGAAGTGTGAAGAAGTAGGTGGAGGGAAGCAGTAAAGAAAGAACAGATTATAGCAGGGTCTTTGCAGAGGAACATGAGAAGAAGGTGTAAGTTGGAAAGAATGAGGAAAAAAGGAGAAGACTAGTCAAAGACTACAAAAAAGAACAGTAGAAGAAACTTATTTTTAAAAAAGAAAGGTAGAGAAATACATATCTAATAATGTCAGGCGTAGCATGAAAGGAACTGGAAAATGAAAGATAACTTTAAACTGTATGGTTCCAATCTGAAAAAAGTGGTTGCACATGTACAGATGGAAAATTAAGATTAAGAGCACAAAGAGAACGTAACAGGAAATTGTGACAGGAAATTGTTTAGGGAATCTGTGGGAGAAAATACTGTAAGGAGATAAAAACTGTAATTCGGTTTAAGGAAGATTAAATGATGGTAAAGGGAATGACAATTGCTATAAGGGCTCAATTTGGGGTAAAACGTGGCAGGAAAGGAATGTACTTTTAATTCCTTTACTTAGCCAGCACTTTTTTGTGATGAGAAGAAAAGAGAAAGAATCGCAAAGTGTGTATTCATGCCTCTGAAATGGTCCTGCAGATAAATCCTGGGAGCAGTGTGCATCTTTTTCACTTTCTGAAGTGTTACTGAGCTTTGAAAGACTGTATTTTGACATGTGTAACTAGTTAAGGATTTCTTGAACTGTTTCACAAATAATCTGTGTTGCTTTTCCCGTAGGAATTTGTCTGTTAAGAGAATCAATTACGACTTCAGAAACTTAAGTTTTTGGAATTTTTTTTACCTTCCTTCAATGAAAGGTGGCAGGTGTTGCAGAGAAAAAAAAATAAATGTAGCTGATAGAGTAATGACCCTTGACCGGTGCCCATTTATTTATTTGAATGAAAGGATGAATCTTTAATGAAAGGATGTAGTGTGACAAATCTCATTTCTTAATCAGTGAATACGTAGGTTGTAAAATCTTCATATTAATGAGAAATCTGGAAATGGGATGCTGCTTTAATATAGAAAGGGCAAAAGTTAATTAAAAAAAAAAGCTAACCCAACCAACATATTATAACACTATTGGAATGATCACCAGTACAAAGGACAGCATATAGTTTTTCCCAGATAGATAATTGTTTACTGTAAGGATTTCCTTTCTCTTGGCTGCTTAGGAGAAGGGTGGTAGGCCATTTGTCTTTATGACTACATTGAGTTAACAACTTGTCACCACTTCTCAGCTCTGTCTACTTCCAGAAAGATGAGGCTACTATTTGTTAAACCCTTAATTGTCATTAATTTATCAGGAAAAGCAAAGATGAGCCAGCACACTGAGAGCAGCCTTTTTGTGTCGTTATTTTTTAAATTTAGGATTTAAGACTTTTCCAGGGTTTTTCCTGACCTTTGGTTTATCCTTGAGCTTCCATGGATTCTGGTGGGTTACAAAAGAGCTCAGTGGGCTGGGCCAGCTGCTGTATGAGGAGAGGCTGACTTGTTCAGCCTGGAGAAGAAGCAGCCTCAGGAGACCTAAGGGCAGCCTTGCAGTGCTGCAGGAAGGAGCCAGTGCACAGTGGTGTGTGATGAGAGGATGGAGAGACAGCACACACAGGCTGAAATGGGAGAGTTTCCAGGTGAATATGAGCAACAACTTGGGATGGTCAAGCTGTGGAACAGGCTGCCAAGAGAGGTTGTGCTGACTCGATCCTTAGGATTTTCAAGACCAGACAGGAGAAAAGCCCTAAGCAATGGAGAATCTGACCTCACTGCTGAGCATGCTTTGAGCAGAGACTGGACAGGAGACAACGTGAGATGCCTTCCAGCTTGAATTACCATATGGATTCCATAAAAGAGAGGGAAAGGAAAGAAAAAACATGTTAGAAGATGTCATTGTTGGGAACAGACTATCAAGTAGGTCATCTGGCTTGCCAGACTCGTCAGAAAATGAATGGAAGGTAAGCTCATCATCAGAAGCTGTCAAAATGTACCAAACTGATGGAAAGAGTGGTTAAATGAGCAGGTAGAAGTGAAGACTGTCTTCAAGATGAAGTTTCCAAGAAGCAAACTGATGCTGAGAGCAGGATAAAGAAGGGTAACAAGCAGCAGTGCATGGGTGTTTCTGACTTCAAGCATTTGGTTACACTGGAAATTCCTGTCTGGCGTGATGATGATTCTGACCTAGCACCATCTGCCTCTCCCTCAGTTGGAACCCGCTGTCCTCACTTCCAGTAAACATCAGCATTTTGTGAAACAACAATTAGAGAAAATCATGATGATTATTGATGAACAGCTTAGCTGTGGTAAAGACGGAATATTCTGATATGGAAGAGAATAAAGAGGAGAGGCTGGTGTTAATTGAAAGTCACCCATGTAATGCCATTACAAGTACTTTGTTCTGCCATGACTTTTTTTTTTAAATTTTTGGATGTTTTCACATGTTGGAATCCAAACCTAGGCTGAAAATTTTGATCTTCGTTTATCATGTTGCCATGTACACATCATGGTACATTGCTATAAATAGTGAAGTTTCATCAGCCTTACCTGGTCAGAGCATCTGCATTGTAGCATGTTAAAAAGACAGCAACATTGCAGACTTCAGGCAAGATTGCTGTTCTTTATTGATGTAAACTTGAGAGAAGTTATTAAAAATAAAGCAGAATATTAAGCACATATTCTTAAAACAAGCAACTCCATTGATTAATGTTGGGCAACTTCTGATGCTGATTTTTAATGAACTTTAGAATTAGTTCTTACACATTAAAATAGTGCTAGAGTGCCAGTTTTTGAAGTGTGAAAAA